AGAGTGTGCTGGCTCCCAATAATTGGGGTTTAAGAAAAACAATGTGGTATAGGAGAAAGCTAGTCCCACTTCGGCCTCAAGTTACTTTGGAAACAAATCTATCTTTTGTTTTCATTTCCCCGCTACATTTCATATTTATCTCTCTTAAGTCATTTAACAATTGCTGTATTATTTCAAATTTTATCTAGGTATGTTTCACATTTCCTATCTGGCCTAGGCTCCTTAAGGCGACACTCCACATCTGTTTTACATTATTATCTCCTGCACTGCCAAGCAAGGCTATAAGGCTCAGAGGAAGAGGGACGTGCCCAGTATCCCCAACGGTGAGCATGGTTTGACCTCATGCTAAATAAGGTGTCAAGTAAGTTGACATTTGAATAAATGAAAAACCTAAAAAGAAGAGCATGGAGGGGGAGGGAAGTCTAGGTGAAGCACAGGTGATTTTCAGAGCAGTGAAAGGACTCTGTATGCTCTTCTAATGATGGAGACATGCCATGCATTTGTCATTCTCTTAGAAGGTAGACCACCAAGAGTGACCCTTAAAATAAACCATAGACTCTGAGCAATTCTGATGTCAAGGTAGGTTCCTCCACTGTTGACATAGAGTATAGGGGAGGCTATGCCCATGTGGTGGAGGATATATGGGGAATCACTGTCCTTCCTCTTCATTTCACTGTGAACCTAAAACTGCTCTAAAAAAATAAATAAAGTCTTTTTTAAAAAATAGCATGATTTCAAAACAAGAACATTCTGAGCACATATGAAATCCAGTAGAGTCTAATTTTTTTTGTTTACCCATCATAATATTAACTAAACTTTATGGTAAACACTATGTGTAGGACACTTTTCTAAACACTATATATATATATATGGACTCATGTGATAAAATAAGCCAATGAGATAGGTACTATTGTAGTCCTCATTTTTCAGAGAAGGAAACTACAGTCATAGAGATTAAAGAATATGCTCAATGCTGCACAGCTGCAAAATTAAAGTCAAGATTCACCCAGAAAGGCTGACTCCCAAGTTCATGAGCATTATCCTGATCTGCCAGGTAACCGAAATTCATTATTTGGAGAATCATTTTTGCCTTCATTTCACAGTGTCATGTATATTATTTTTTCCTTTTTCAAATCACAGTTTAAATTTCATGGGATTAAAAACCACCATCTCTTCATTTTTTAATAATCCATAGCAAATATGATTTAATTACCACATTCACCTCCAGTTTAGGCATCTGGTAAGATGGAATCACTGGGAAGGACAAATCAGAGCAGATTTTTAGTTCAACTGGAAAATGGAAAAGAGAGGAACACTACAGGTATAGGTAAGCTATGGAGCTTTGTCACACAAAATGGGGGGAATCCCCTCCCCACCCCCCACACTTCCAGGAGTATGATTTTTATACAAAAATTAGCCTATATTAATTAAAGGTATTTTCACTCTGGGGCTGTTTTCTTTTTGGTAGTTTTTACTGTTGTTAAAATTGGGCGAGAAGGGGGTTGCTTAGAGAAGTGGTCAGATAAAAAATGGCTCAAGCAAAGAAAATACAGGATTCTCCTCTAGAAATACAACAAAAGACAAGGAATTACAAAAGTTAGAGTATAAAAAAAATGGTTCAAAGAGTTTGGAGAGTGTAAATTCTCTGGAAAAGAGAAACTGAGTTAAATTATGGGGAAAAAGATAATTTCTATGCATATCTTTACTTAATCTAGAATCTGGGGGGGGGGGGGAATTAAAAAAAATTAGCAGTGTACCTTTAAGAATGAAAATGAGTAAGCAGCTAGTATGACCCATTGCAATAGCTTTATTTTTAAAAAATCCATAAAGATCCTGCAGTAAGCAGTAGTCAAAAGTTTTCCATGCTATTTACTAATAGCGAAAAGGCAACATAAATATAGTTTGTGTTGAGCTGGTTGTTTCTAATAACTGATGTACAGGTACAAATACGTATCTAAAGGACAGAATCGATGAAAACATCAACCAAATAATTTATTGAGCACTAACTAAGCACATGAAAAATGTTCTACTCTGCTATTCACTCTCATTGATTGTGAAGTTTTGCAGGTTAAGGGAAAATGTGTGGAAGCAAAGTAATCACTTAAAAAATGATCTGTGGCTCAAATTTCAATCTGCAACAGACATTTGCCCATAGGTTCTACATATTTCATCGTCTTTTCTCTGACAAGAGATACCCAAAAAGATCTCACTGGCCAGGTTGAAACCTTTACAGAGCCTTTTTACACTGCTGACTTAAAATGGCAGGTACATGTAAACTAGAGAGCTTTGTCATGCAAAATAAGACTGAACAAAGAAGCATTCATCCAGTCCTAGGCACTATAACTCAACGTTAATATTGCAGAATCTGGGCCATATAAAAAGCTATTAATGTAAACGACTCAAAGGGAGATGTTAGAAAAAAAATAAGGGGAAAGTAATCAATGCATGCCATTTCTTAGTCACAAAGGAACAGAAGTATGATATCACAAAGATTATTTGTTGGACTCATCAAACTCTATTGTATTTTAAAGTACAATGAACCATTCAATTCCTTCACCAGCTATCTACACAGGTAGCAAAGAGCAATCAGGGCTGACTATAGGACCCAGCATGACTCCAGAACCCAACATTTTAACAAGCATGCTAGACTTGTTCTTTAGGCCTTGTAAGAAGTCTGCATACATTGACAGTATTATCTTGCTGAATCAGAGCCTTTTCTTTTTTTTTCAATATTTTGTTACACTGCAACCATAGATTCTATGTGAAGTCAATATGTCAGTGTATGTTGCGGGTGCCCAGCATTGACAGCCAGGAGCCCCCTGTTGTCAGAGATGAGCCCACTGGCCTTCCTTCAAGTACTGGAGCACTAGTCCACCAATCCAGCTACCACCTATGCAACCTCACCCCCCCACCCAAACCCCCGCCAAAGCTCTGACCTCCCCAGAGGACGCTCTCCCAGACTGAAGAAAAACATCTTTCTATTCTGGAATAATGGAATCAGCCACCTAATGAAACCCCACTGAAATCTCAAAAGACACATACCCCCGAATGAAGAACCATACCTGTGGAACAACACCTGTGAAGTAAGAGGCTTTTAATATACAGAAAACCAACTCAAAGCAAAGCAATTAAAACAATACATTGAATGTCCCCCTTTCTTGGGAATCAAGACAGACCTAAACTGAAGAAATGGTTAATTTTTAAATAACAGAAATGAAACTGTTATTAGCTTATAAAGTACTCATTGAATACTATTGCAAAACATACTATTGCAAAATATACTATTGCAAAATATGCAATTACATAAACACATTCTCATTAAGCTCTCTAATAAACTACAAATAAGAAAGCCATTTAAAAGTTTAAATCGCAAGTTCTAACACAAAGGAGAACTTTCAAAAGAGGTAGCTTTCTATTTCTAGGAACTGAATCTCCTAGTGAGGATTATTGAACAACTCTATTATCCTGTGAATGAACTTCTGGTGGGGAAAGATCCAAAGACGTGTGGATAGCTTTTCTTTTTTCATTTGCTTACATTTTTTTAAGATTTTTATTTTTAATCCATACTGGAGAATATATTTTTAATGAGAGAGAGAGAGAGAGAGAGAGAGAGAGCGAGCGCCAGTGAGGGAGAGAAACCTCTATGTGAGAGAGAAACATCAATCTGTTGCATACCATATGTGCTCTGTCCAGGGATCAAACCACAACCTAGGTATGAACCCTGACAAGGAATTGAACCCTCAACTTTGTAATATATGGCACCATGCTTCAACCAACTGAGCCACCTAGCCAGAGCTGTCTGCTTATTTTCATACTTCAAGTAACTGTCAAAATTATTCAAATTGCCTCCCTTTTAGATATCAGACTTCATGAAACTCTATTTCATGTTTATTTTCCAGCTGTTATTTTCAAGAAATGAGTAAACCAATCACATCTGAATATTGCATTCAAATCAAAAATACTATTTCTTCCTGCACAGACACACAGAAATATATCTGCCAATAAGTAGCCTTTTGCCAAACAACCAACAAATTTTGTACCTGAACTATTTTTTTTCCTATAAGTGGAATGATTTTTCTCCATTTTTCAAGATTTTGCTCCAAGGTATTAAAAACTTTGCTCAAGGAAGGGGCGAAGGAGGGTTAGACGGACAACCTTACATTTCTATGGGGCTAATATCTACATCGAAGCATTATATACATGGTGAGATCCAACGACATCAAAGCATTAACCAGAAAGGAAAGGATGATTACCTGATACTCATTGGGCCAAAAGGTGCTCACGGCTAGCTCAGCCCGAAGCCAGTCTCTCCCCGTGAATCCAGTCACATTCCAAATTGGATTGGCAAGAGGCCCCTTGTTCACCCTCACTAGGATGTTCAGAGTGCCAGGATTCAGCCCTTTCTGGCTATATAACAGGTAACTGAAATCAATGCAGTGAGTGTCGTTCTCCTTCATCGTAGGCAGCTGAAGTCTGGCTTTTTCTCCAGGGTCATGGTCTGAAGAGTCCACTATCATATAGGAACCTGAAATGACATTACATATAATAAACTTAAACAAATAGATAAGCAAAAAGGAATATATAATAGAAAGAATGCTAAACACAATGCCAATCTATTCCCAGTGTTACAACTAAAACTCAGGATTACAGAGCCACAGATACCAAACAAGTAAACAAATGAAGTTCTTACAGGTGACAGATATTGTTCAAAACACATAACATGCATTATACATCTGCTCTCTGCAACAACCTGTTACTAATCCTATTTCACCAATTAGAAAATTGAGAGATAATTAGTAATCTCTTTGACTATTTGAATAGTCAAACAGGTAGAGCCTGGTTCAAACCCACATTTGCCTCTAAAAAAATCTTTAGTATTATTAAGCAGAAGTCTTTTAATGTCAAATAAACAAAGCAAGACCTTATGGGCCTGATTTACATAGAGCATGCAGCTCTCCTTTTCCGTATGCATAATACTATTGCAGAGAAATGGACTAAAAGTGTAGACACTAATATCATTTATATGTCCAAACCCAAGATAATCAGTTATAAAGCTGTGTAACCTTTTGCAGTGTACTAGCCACTCTGAACTTCAGTGCAGAAAAAAATATATACTTTGCAGTGTAATTCTGAGGACTAAAATTTTAAAATGTCAAAATTTCTAGACTGAAAATCTGATATAGGGTAGATTCATCTGTCTAGAGTCTCTCCCACTAAGCTCTCAGCTAATCACCATGACCATTGGTCCCAATTCTGCAGTAGTCCTTATGCTCTACTATAGCTTCCAGAAACCTGGTTTGAAAATTACAAATCTACCCTACTTCCATTGACTTAATCAATATTCACTGGTTGTCTATCATGGGAAGGCACAAGACATAAAGAGCCCTACCCTCATGGAACCTCACAGTCCCTCCCTCAAGTATACAGTTCCTGCACTGTACGCAAAGGTGGAATAGTACAAAGCTCAAAAATGGGACTTGCACATCAGCTGATGGTATTAGTTCAAGGTTATCTCCAGAAAAACAATCAGTGCTTCTCATGTCACTATTCATTCTCACATGGACACACATCACAGAAATGGAAATATGTTTGTGGATTATACTTAAGGTTGAATATAAACTTTATTATACAATACTTCCCCCTAGAATGTAAATTAACCTAAATGTGTTAGGCATGGTGTTACAGAACTTAGTGTCACAAGGATTGTATTTGTAGAATTAATCAACCCTTTGGGTTTCCTCTCTAAAACACAGTAACTTTTACCTATGATACTAACATTCATTGACTGTTAGTCTAATTGTTCAATTAATGCCCCAAAATGTATGCAAATCATGGAAGATAAGAGGACTTCCACTATATAGGGAATCAAAAGCTTAAATCTGACCAATTCCCATTTGGTGGTATTATGATTCAGAGCTTGTGGCAAGATTTCATATCATAACTCTGATGCTGTTAGAATAACCTGGTTATTGTTAACAGGGGAGGAGTAAAGGGAAGACTGGATAATACAGCCATGCCATTTATACAGCTTTGCTAATTTAACGCTCCCCACGACCCTTCCCTGCTGATCGCTGAGGGTACTGGACAAAGGCAGTTTGGAGCATACCCAGTAAGGTCTGAGTGACCTGGGAATGTGCCTGTCTCTCAGTCACACCTGAGGACTAGTCAGTGGCCATAATAGGCATGGTCACTGCAAGCTCATGAAACATGAATATTTCCACTTTGAAACAAAGAAATGAGCTTTCTTGAGCTTTCTCCTTCTGCTCCTCCTCCTGATTCCTGTGACAGGGGGTGTGTTCCCCTGTGCCACCTGGCTCTGGGCCCATGTGGGCCCCCACTCGATGGACTGAGGGACTTTAATTAGTTGAGCCTGGCTGCAACACGCCACAGCAGCTCTGAACACTGGCCTTGCTTTGGGTTCTACTGGAACCCAGGCTCTTTCAGGACTGGCTTAAGAGGCATGAGACTTATGCAAATAATGCCTTTTACCACATCTTGTTTGCCTGCAGGGGTTTCTGAAAATTCTTATTTCAGTGGTACCCCAAGAACCCAAACCCCACTCCCAGGAGCAAGGGAGGAATTGGATTCTCCAGTGACAACACTATGAGGCCAAGTACAGAATAAACTTACTAAAGTGATACTAATATTGCTTGTATTATACTTCATTTTTCCCAGTTCTCATCTTCTCTTGTAACCTGGAATTCCTTTTCATCTCCCTTCCTGATTCTCATAGATTGCACACTAACAAATAAATTGGCCATGTATATTTTTGGAGAAGTTAAATGTTTTTGTTTTGTTTTTTCCAACAGGATATCCTGGATCCCAACCCAATTTATAGAAGCAGGATGTTTCTATTTTGGGCTATATACACATTCAGAAGCCCATCGTTGCTTCATGGAGATGTTTTTCAAATTCACCACAGCAGAGCAGACTAATTATTGCTTTTAACTATGGCCAGGCTGAGATCTTGGATAAGATACTGAGTATTATTGGGTCTCAACCTCCTCACAGACCGGTGACCTATTCCTCCACTGCTATAACAATTTTTATTGTTTCGGGGACATATTTTAGCAGCAGTGGAATTAAATTGTTTTTACAAGTATGTATTATGACTTCTGACTGTAAAGTAGTGACCTAAATGACTTATGGATTCTCAAATGTTTATGTTCTCCCTGATAAATTAAACTTGGAATAAAATATGCTTTACCTCACATTTTATGATATTCAGTATAGTAGCATGTTATTTACCATTCAGACCATTTAGCGATTTTTAGCCAGTTGCACTTTTAAGCAACAATAATTTTCGTACTAAGGAAATGAACAAAGTATATTAATTAGTCAGAATATCAATTTCATCATTATTAGAAAGACAACAGCCACAAAATAAAAAGCTGTCCAAACTATTTCAGCATTTCAAGGGTATTCAATGCAGGTTAAATAAAAATAAAAATTTAAAACTGCTGATATTTCAATTCTATAAGGATACTTCTTGTAAATGGGCTTTTTAAAATAACATGAACATTTCACTGGAAAATATTTGAATACTTTTTCAAGCTGGAATACAAAAATAGTGGGATTCCCTTCCCCAATATCTCTAAAATGAGTGTGGGCTCCTCCCTCTGCTCTTGCTCTTCTGGCTAGGAGCTATTCCTGGCCATGCCCTGCCAGCACTTCCACAGCCACCCTCAGGCTCCTTCCGCCAGTGACACTGCACACGCAAGCTGCAGGCTCCTGTTTCCAGCTGCTTCCTACTGTAAAGGGCCTTTCTCGTCAGTCCGCCTGGCTCTGCTACATTTTCTGAGTGCTGTGGGGTGATATGCACTTACTAGTATTACACAGCTCCAGGGAGGAAGAAGCAGGCACTAGCACCAAAGGCCCTCTAAGTCCTCTGCCAACTGCCTTCACACAGAGGCAATGAGCCCACTAGGCACCTGAAGGTAGCTGCCTGTCTGACTGCTTCCATCATCCCAGCTATAGAGAATATGTTATTCTTACCAACTTATACAAATTACCTCCACAGTCTCCCAGGATAAACAGTTGCCAACTCCCAGAGTCAGAAATTCTACAGAATGCATTTCCCTCACTTTTTAGATTAGAGTGTCAGTTTACTTATTGTTCTGTTACTAGCTAACTAATTCCTCAGATGTCTAACGGATTCAATTCTATTTAATTGTGATTCAGCTATCTCAACACTTAATAATGAAACTTCTGTGTACACATACATATAATGTTCTGACTTTGAATGTGTCTTTACATATATTCCTACAAGCT